CTCCTGTCCGAGAGGCTGGAAGAGATGAGACCACCTGCTCAGGCAGAAAGAACGCTGTTCGGATTAAAGGCTCCTGGGGACGAACTGGTCAAACACTGAACACGGACAAACCACAGAAACAGTCAGGGTCAAGTGTCTGCCCAGGTATTTAGTCTGGGTCTTCTACCTTCAGAAGGACACTTTGAGCAATTCTGACTCTTCCATCAGGGATAGGGGTGGGGGGAGAAACGTTGCTAAACTGACACCACCCACAATGTTGAGGGAGACTCAACAGTAAGGGCTTTTGTTTGTTTGTTTTCTCAATAGAACAAGAAGACAAAACTATATGGAAAAACAACACTTTTTACTCATGTTTTATTGCTTCAGGCCATTCCCAATCTATAAGGAGGTAACTAAATAGTAAGCCCTTAATTAAACAAGTTAATGCCTGCGGCTCAGATTATAAACCTGAACAAATCTGAGAGGCTGAAGCCTACTGCTGGAAGAGGCAAGTAATAAATGTAGGGTTGAAAGCAAGCAGTAAATGTGGGGGTGAAGGCCGCCTCGGCCAAATACCCACGAAAGCTGGACTGAAAGGGCCATCGGTGCTGAAGTGAGGGCTGGGACGGGGCCTGCGGGCTGGCGGGAGGGGCGGAGGGCAAGAAAGGCATCAAGAGGTCAGAGCAACAGACCTGCACAAATTGAGACTCGCTAAGCTGAGCAATGGACTTTCTACCACCAACTGCAGAGAACGCTTCTTTATCGTCTCTGATTCCTGCCTCTAATTAAAATTGGGTGTTTGGTTTACTTCATTCCCAAAGCATAAACTTTGGCTTTTTATAGCCCAAGCAGTGTGCTATTTTAAACATGTAGAGGAAATGCATTTTCAGTTACAAACATTTGCTTCTGTGAATCTGTTCTTACTTGCTAGCAAAGGCTGTGGGACAGGATGTTTTGCCCTCCTGCTCTGGTTTTCCTGCACTGCTTAAATCTGTTTAGAGAGAAGGAAAATAAACAAATAAAGTGTTTCTGTTGGACAATCTATAAACTGAAGCAACTCCAAAAATGAAAATGAAAGACATCTGTGGAAAGTATTACAATAATTTTCTTTTAATGAAATGGATTATTTCTACAGATTCTTCTCCTGAAAAGACTTCCCATGCCAGGCACGTGCAGCCAGCAAAAGATACTAATATCTGCACTGATAAAATGTGCCCACTTAGATGCTCCGGATCAGATGAATTCCTCTTGACCCTGTCTTTTACCAAGTACAATTACAACTGGAGAGGCTTTCTGAGATACATTTCAGCAAGATGATCATGCCAACCTTGAAGGTCATCTCTTGGATTTATTTAGAAATTCAAGGTGTACTACATCAGAATTAAATATGTCCCCATTTTCACGTACGACTCTGAGCAATTTTTTTACTCAGGCAGACACATTCTTGTAATCTGTTACATTTCATTATTGCACTCAAAGAAACTGATTTTAATTACATTTTACTTGACCCTTTCTTCAGTGAGTCAGCAGTCTATTCATCTAATGAAAAGTATTTTACCTGGAGGCCCTTCCACATTCTGTCTGTGCTTCTGTTCTCTACTCCAATACTGTCCTGTATGGACAGCACGAGAGAGACTTTCTTCTTCATCAAACCTAGTCAGGCTCCTCTGAGCCCTCTTCTCAACTAGGCCTCAATCTCAGCCCCAGTCCTTGCTGGACTTGCATTTTAGCAATTTAGCCCAATTTTAGCAAGAATCCTGCTAGGCCAGCTTTCAAAGAATTTCCCACTCTTGGTATCTGATCACCCTTGATATCCGATGAAGTTTTTCATTCCCCACACTTGATATATAAGTACTCGGCCTGCCTTTGGCAAGAATCCTGTTAGGTCGGTTTAGCAAGAATCTCCCTACCCCTGGTGTCTCTTAGTAATAGTCCATTCTCTGACACCCTCTCCACTGCCCTCATCCTGGCTCTTCGGCCATAAATTCCCAACTGTCTCTGCGGTACTGAGAGTTGAGCCCAATCTCTCTATGTTATTGTGACAGTCTTGCCACTTACTGCAATAATCCTGAGTAACTCTTCCTAACCCTTTTAACAAGTATCAGAATGGAATGCCCTGGCAAGAGATGGGAGAGAAGGAGGAGCAGGAGATCTGGGTATTTATGTCGCTGGCTTCCCCCTGGAGAGTCCATTGCTCAAGTGAAGGTCTCAGCTCCCATTAGGAGGCCCTCCCTGTGTTCAGTATCAAAACTGTTCTCCCTCTTGCCCCTTTAGGTCTAGGGGAGGTAATGGAGCCTCATACTTACTAGCCCCAGGCACACCACACTATTCCATCCCTGTGGTTTTTCATCACTTTGTGAGTTATTAAACTCTCCTCAAAGTATCCTACTTTGAGAATGCCATCTGTTTCCTCCTGGGTCTCCCTGTTACAGATACCATCTCAGCAATTTATCCTTGAGAGCTATTAGCTCTAAGAAAGGAAGGCATGGATATAGAATGCTTTGAGATCTCCATGAGTGACTTAGTGACTGAAACAGGCTGACCCTGTTAAGCTCCTACTTTCTCCCTCTTCTAGTCGTCTTTGTAATTATAGTAACGGAGTGTTTTCTGAAACACACACAGTTTCCAAGTAGAATCTCTAAGCATCAACAGGGGATTATTTAAAGTAATACCAAGCAGACTAGAAGTAAAAATTGTGCTAGCTGAAATGAACTGTGCTAGGACCCTAAGGTACAAGAAACTTGGCCTTTATTTCTACCTGGTACTTAATCCACAGGTAACTTTTACAGTAACACTTAATAAATACAAGAGACACTGTTTAGTAATACCAGATGTAAGCCTGGTAAGCCAAGGAAAACCTGCAGAAAACTAACGGTCTATGTAACCTGGGGTATTTGTCAAATTCAGTTTGTAGTAGATTGTGAAATCAATTCAGTGGCCCATGACATTTTAAATGACACTTACTACACACAATCATGTAAAACAGAAAATCAGAATTAATCATACGTAGTAAAGGTAACTCACCAAATTTTATTTCACTTTTTTGAACACCTATATTTATGAGCATAGGAGAGAGTACTGTAAAATGTATTCCTTACTTTGAGTGGCAGTCAATAAAGTCTGAAAGGTACTGGTCCAAAGAGAATCCCTTCCAAACAATTTAACAATCATAAGGCTAAAAACATACTGTTTCAGCCTAGATCCTCACATTTAAAAAAAATCTCAACCTTCACTAAAAATACAGTTTGTCACTCAGTATAACTACATCAACAACCAAAATAAAAATTTTATGAAACAATGCTTACCATGTAATATAGCATGATTTTTTTATTCCATTTTCTTTCCTTTTTTTTTTTTTTTTTTTTTACGTAGGCTCCTCGCTGGTGTGGAGCCCAATGCAGGGCTTAAACTCATGACCTGAACTGAGATCAAGAGTCAGTTGCTTAACTGACTAAGCCACCCAGGTGCCCGAGTCTGTTTTGAACAATGATTGCAAACCACAGCTTGAAAACTACTGGCCTAGAATATTAACAGGGCCAGCGTGGAGAGCTCTGCTCACATCACCCTGTTCACATCGTTTCCGTCCTGGTAGCAAGCTCTCAAATCCCTTTCCTTCTTAGGTTTCTGTGTCACTACTACATGACTTCTGCCACCCACTCACTCCAGTGGGGGGGGGGAGAAATACACGGAATGAGGAGCAGATAAAGAGGGTGAGGCAGAGGTGGACACGGCCCCGGGCCAGGTCCTTGTGCTCACCACCATGGCACACGAGGAGAGCCATCGGATCTTCTGCAAGCACCTAAGCTCGCAGCCTGAGGACGGAGGGCATGGGGAAGCAGCCCAGAGCCAGTGACAGATGGGAGCCAGAGGGTAACTATCCCTGTCTCCTCACCCTGAGCTGCTCGCCACCATCCTGAGATACCTAGCAAAACCCCATGAGTATCAGCCGCTACTGTCAGTAAGCTGCTAGAATACATGTGCTCACCTGGGTGCACTCCCAGCCTTTCCCACCTCCCTCCGGAAGCCCTGGAGTCACCTCTCACATCAATGACTTGTACTCAAACTTTTGTCTCAGGGGCTGCTTCCGGGTAAATGCAACCTAGATGAGGGCACCGGGTTACACAGCACTGTATGGAGCCGGGGCTGCAAAGATGAGAAAGGACTGTCCTAGAAAAGCCCATAGTCCTATCAGACTATCATAGTCTGATAGGAAAACCTATGATTTTTGTTTTTTAATGTAAAACCCCAGACAAAACTTTACCATTCATAGCGATGCGGTAGGTAGGTATGTTTAGGGAAGGAAGGAAGAAGTGGTGAGCTGTGACCAAAGGGTGGGAAAAGCCCTTGGAGGTGACCTGTTCCACCTCAAACCCTCCAGGACACAGACCTTCCCACAGAACGGCAGGTCCAACAACTGGCTCCGGGCGGGGATTCCGCGTTCCTGTGCCTGTATGCTAGCGCCCTGCCTTCTTGTATCACTGTGATGCTTTACATCTTACATACGTGTTAAGAAGAAGGAAATTTTTATTTCCTCAAAAGGAAAAAATTAGAGTCTTCAGCTAAAAATAACTCAAGTAATATGGAAAATATGAAGAGAGGAAAACTATTAAGTTTCTGACAACATGTTAACAGAATTATCTGTAAATCAGTTTTGACCTTCCTATGTTCCTTTGTGGTCCTTGGGGGACAGGACCGAGTACTTGATCCCAATCTCCAATAGAAGTTCTACTAAACCGCTGATATTTTCATTCAAAATTCATTTATAGATGTAAAATCTACTACATGTTCAGCTCTGTGGTCAGCAGTGTGAATGAGCACTTTTTTCATGCTGCAATCAAACAAGAAACCTAAGGCTAATTTTTCTTTGCATTTTCCATGTTGGCAACTATTTCACGAAAGGCAAATCAGCAGCAGGATTCCTGCTGTGGGGAAGCGAGTCCCACGAGCCAAAGGGGGCCTGTCTCCTGGAAGCAGCTTCGCCAGCCACCAGGCGCACCTGAGCCCGAGCGCAGGACACTCACCCGGACCCCACAGGGAGCGGCGGCACAGCTGCAGGGCCAGCAGCCTGTGGCTTCTCTTTCTCGTTTTGCTTGAAGAAAGATTTGGCTTCTTTAGACGTGGCATCCACTTCCTTAGTCACCCTGTGCCAAGGAAGGAGACGTCAAGTTTACAAGAAGAATGAAAAGAGAGAAACAAAATCTAAGAGAAAGGGGAATAAATGACAATAAGAAAGGAAAACACCCACAGGGCTTACGATGAGTCCTGGCTGCTGAGGTTTCTGATTCAAGTCCACTACAACAGTTCTAAATATTCTAAATAAAGGCATTTTCCTTAACTCTGTGAACAACAATGTATGTACCTCATGTCCCTAAAATCCCCTCCATTACTTCTGCCAGAAGGCCACACGCTCCAGCAGTCAATGCTGAATCACAGCCCCGGTGGCTACCGATGTGACAGCTGAGAAGGCTCTGCCACTCACCTCACGAGGAGATGAGGACTCATACTTAAAGAAAGGTCTAGTAAAAGTTGGAATGGGGAGATGGAATAATTGGGAGAAAAACATTAGCAGTATTTCAAGAAGAGCAACAATATACACAATTGGAAATACTCTGCAGAATACTCCTGCTCACAGCTAAAATAGCCCAAAGATTAAACAAAATACCTTAAAACCGGCTAGATCAACACTCACTTGGGAGCAGAAAAAAGCAACAGGATTGAGAATCCTGTCCAATTTCAAATCTGGAAAAATAGTCCTCAACAAAACTGAGTCCTAAAGAATCAAATAAGGTTATTCACAGGGTCTGAAATTTCAGCTAAAGAGAGAAGTGTCTAATGCCTGCTCAGTCTTGCCAAGTCAACAAAAACATCTGAGGAATTTTGTTTAAATTCGAATCTATCTGTAGGAGGGTCCAGGATTAAGGTCATTGTACTGTGAGTGTTCAACCAGGTCCTCCAGAAATAAACTGGCCAAGAACACGGACAGGTGAATCTGACAAATTCCATCTTTGTAGGAATGTAAGCCTGTCTTTTTTCTCCTCTTGTCTAGGCTTCTTGGGAGCAGAAGCGAGTTTTCTTATTGAGAGCCATCTCATTCCTGCACTCAGCACTGTGTCACCTGCCATCTCATTCCTGCACTCAGCACTGTGTCACCTACTAAAGCAGCAAAGAATAAGAGGTTGAGAGTTCTGTACTGAGAATCTTCACTAGGAAAGACTCCCAAGTTAATCTTGAGGGGTGACTTAAAGCAACGCTACTTTCTGTTACTCTTCTGCCCACATTCTTGTGATGGCTCAGTATTACTCAGAGGACCAAATATAAACTGCCAAACCTCCCATTCAAGGCCCTCTAAAATATGGCCCTACTCTTTATCAGGCTTAATTTGTGTGTCTCTCTACTCTTCCAGTGAACTTCTCAGTAATGAGAGTCAAGAGTTAAAAATAAGAGGGAGAATTTATACCACAGATTAGATCATCATTCAACAAATATACATTCCTTTCCTGTTGACCAAGCAGAAACTTGTCTAACCCACTGATCTTGAGCTTGGACACATGCTTCAGTGGTCAATGAGATGTTTGACAGGAAAAGAAGCTTTAATGTATTTGTACTGTTTCACTTGCCCCTTGAGTTTCCCGTGTTTGGCCCTGTAAGAATACACCTCAAGCTGGTCCAAGATGGCTGAAAGCCACACACTGCGGATCTGAATCCAACAAGCAGCTTAGAGCCAAATCCAGATCAGCTGAACCCCAGATACTCAGAAACACACAGGCAACAAACAAACACTTGCTGTATACCCGAGTTTTGGGGATGGCTTGTCACACAGCATTTCTATTGCAATGCCTGACACATTTACATTTCATGAACAAGAAACAGGAAATCTAAGGGGTTAAGTTACTTTTCCAAGACCATCCAGAGATTAAGCAGCAATTTCTCTATTACTCTGTTACAGCAATTACTCTATTTCTCAAAGATGGTTGCCAAAACCCATTCTATATGCTCTTCCAAAACATGACATTACCTCAATGAGAAGGGAGGTATACAACCCCTGCTCTTTAAACTGGGTGGGCCTTTGTGCTGCCAATTCACAGAGTTCAGTGGAGGTGGCACTCCATGACTTCTGAGGCTAGCTGATAAGATGACACAGCTCTTACCTGGCACTCTCTCTTGAGAATGCAATCTTGAAACCTCAAGTTACCATACAAGAGGCCTGGGTCCTCTGGCCCACCATGCTACAGAGAACATACGAGAAGAACACAGAGAAAAGGATGTTTGAGGAACCTGTTCTGGTCCGGGCCTAAGACATGGGAGCAAGGAAACTTTCGAGATGGCTTCACACCCAGACACTAACTAAAACTGCTTGAGACCCTGAGCAAGAACTGCCTGAGCCCAGCTATCCTCCAGAACTATGAGAAATTACAATTGTTTTATGCCACTAAACTTTGAGGTAATTCCTTACATTGCTATACAGACAACCAAAATAAACCCACACCCAAACCTAAACCTTAATGCAGAGTCCCAAGGTCCTGGACTAGAAAAAGTTGCTTTCAATTTCCCTGCCCTGGGTAGAATCTGGGGGCAGACCATTAAGAACCAGTGGATACTCAGGGCACCTAGGTGGCTCAGTCGGAGAGTCCAACTTCCACTCAGTCATGGATCTCATGGCTCGTGGGTTCAAGCCCCACGCTGGGCTCTGTACTGACAGCTTGGAGCCTGGAGCTGCTTCAGATTCTATGTCTCTGTCTCTCTCTGCCCCTCCCTCCACTCATCCTTTCTCAAAAGTAAATAAACCTTTAAAAAAAATTTTTTTTAAAGGACAAGCAGATGCTTGCACTTAGAAATGATGTTCTGAACATACACTTTATTCTCCACCCCCATCAGATGGTGGTAAATAAATTTACAAAGGCAAAATTACACAAGGATATGGTGAAAAGATGCAACAGAAAAAAGATGCCACTCAAATTTTCTGAAGGTAGAAAGTAAACAGACAAGTAGAAATTGGCTTTGGTTTTTTGTTTTCTCTGATCCAAGCCTGTAGCCACATGGAATAACAACAAGCAAGTATCTGTACTACAGTATTCCGGAAAGCCTCAGTAAACTGAGACCAGGAACCTTCCAACGGAGAGGAGAGGAGCAGGGCTAAAATGAGCTGAAAGTCTGTATCAGGAGCAAATAGATCCCAGGTCCCCTTCTTCAACCTGCTATCCCCCATCCAACCCAGCAGAACCCATTATTCTTTGGAGAAATGAAAACCACAGAAGTTCCAAACTCACTGGGTAGGGCTCAAGTCTCAATGTGAAAACAAGGTAATTAAATTAAAATCTATTTATTCACTCTTCCTTACCACAGCAACCTCGAAAGCTATGTGCTCCACAGCTGAGTTACTTACAGGATGGAGTGCTGCTCAGCGTGTACTGGACTTTCTACCAGTAATAAATATGTATGTAGAGTCGACTCTCGAACCATGTGGGGTTAGGAGCACTGGCCCCCCACACACTTGAAAATATTCATATAAGCTCTTACTTCCCAAAACTTAACTACTAATAGCCTACTATTGGTAGGAAGCCTTAGTGATAACATAAACAAATGATTTCACACATTTTGTTATATATTACACCATTTTCTTACAATTAAGTAAGCTAAAGAGAAAAAAATATTACAAAAATCATACAAGAAAAAATACATTTACAATACTACAGAAAATCCACACTGAAGTGGACCCACACAGTTTAAACCTGTGCTGCTCAAGGGTCAACTGTACTGTGGTACTGAGTTTTGGGTTTGTTTCCACAGTACAGCGTAGCATAGCGTTGTGATTATATCAACTGAACAGGAATTTCAGAAGAGAAAATATGGGAGAGATTGTCAACAATAACAAAAAATTTCCTAGTGACTTTTCACAGCATAGCTGACATGGCAAGTTTTAAGATCCACATCAAGGCACATCACTGTAAGATTTTAGAATGTGCATGATAACAGATGAAGATCAAGGGGTCCAAGGTATAAGGAAAGTAAAAGGCGGCTTTATGCAAAGCATGTACTGTTTTGTTTACTTGTTTTACCACAGGAACGAAAAGCTCTTACTATAGCCACTTAAAGCAATTCATTGAACCTTTTCTGAAAAGCAACCTAGACCCTAGATACAGGCAGTGTTAGATATGGAACTTATAAGTAAAAATATATGCATGGTCTCTGCCCTTCAGAGGCTCACAGTCCATCAGGACAGTCAACCATGAAATAAATCATGACAACAAAGAATATATAGTAAATGCTACAAAGAAACCATGAAAAGAGCATAGCCTATGGGAGTATCTCTGTTAGGTTCTTAATGCCAAGGTCCTTTCCACAGTCACAAAGAAATGACATCTAAAACCATTATGTTTCTCTCAGGGACTTTGGGAATCAACTCAAAGTAACATAAACAGACTTTTACTCTTCATTGATAGTATGTCTGGAAGAAAGCCATTTTTAACAAGCAATAAGAAGAATTTCAGCTGTAAAAACATCTTCAAGGAAGAGAACAGTTAGGGTACCTGGGTGGCTCAGTCAGTTAAGAATTCAATTCTGGGTTTCTGGTCAGGTCATGATCTCAGAGTTTGAGTCCCGAATGGGCTCTGCACTGACAGCCATGGAGCCTGCTTGGGATTCTCTCTCTCTCTCTGCCCCTCCCCAGCTCATGCACACACACTCTCTTAAAATACATAAATTTTTTAAAATAAAGGGTAACAATTAAATTATAGACCACTTCTAATATATAAGAGGGATTAGTTCAAGCGTTATCAGCAGAAATGTCATTTTAACTTCATTTCACTTACTTAGAGCTTCCTAATAAGTCTGTATTTAGGCAGAAGCTTTCCACGACTGGCCCTTTCCAAAAGGTGAATCATTTGGGAAAGTCTGAACTAACTGGCTCAGCTGGTTATGCGATACAGAAGAATAAAAACTACTATTTTTCTAGGGTGCTTGAGTTGGTTAGATGTCCACCTTGGGCTCAGGTCGTGATCTTAAGATTCGTTGAGTTTGAGCCCCAAGTCAGGCTCTGTGCCAACAGCTTAGAGCCTGGACCCTGCAGAGAGGGTCCTCTGCCCCTCCCCCATTGGTGCTTTCCCTCTCTCTCAAAAATAAACAAACATTAAAAAAAAAAATT